CATTTATCAGTGTCCTCTTTAATTTCTCTTAAGAGTGTCCTGTAGTTTTCTGGGTATAGGTCTTTCACTCCCTTGGTTAGGTTTATTCCTAGGCATTTTATTCTTTTTGATATAATTGTGAATGGCATTGTTTTCCTGATTTTCTGTTAGTTCATCATTAATGTATAGGAATGCAACAGATTTCTGTGTATTAATTTTGTATCCCGTAACTTTGCTGAATTCAGAGATTAGATCTAGTAGTTTTGGAGTGGATTCTTTAGGGTTTTTTATGTACAATATCATGTCATCTGCAAAAAGGGGCAGTTTGACTTCTTCCTTGCCAATCTGGATGCCTTTTATTTATTTGTGTTGTATGATTGCCATGGCTAGGACCTCCAGAACTATGTTGAATAAAAGTGGGGAGAGTGGGCATCCTAATCTTTTTCCCAATCTTAAAGGAAAAGCTTTCAGCTTCTCACTGTTAAATATGATGTTGGCTGTGGGTTTGTCATATATGGCCTTTATTATATTGAGGTACTTGTCCTCTAGACCCATTTTGTTTAGAGTTTTTATCATGAATGGATGTTGAATTTTGTCAAATGCTTTTTCAGCATCTATGGGGGTGATTATGTGGTTTTTGTCCTTCTTTTTGTTGATGTAGTGGATGACGTTGATGGATTTTCGAATGTTGTACCATCCTTGCATCCCTGGGATGAACTCCACTTGATCATGATGGATGATCTTTTTGATATATTTTTGAATTCAGTTTGCTAATATTTTGTTGAGTATTTTTGCATCTATATTCATCAGGGATATTGGTCAGTAATTTTCTTTTTTTATGGTGTCTTTGCCTGGTTTTGGTATTACAGTGATGTTGGCCTCATAGAATGAGTTTGGAAGTATTCCCTCCTCTTCTATTTTTTGGAAAACTTTAAGGAGGATGGGTATTAGGTCTTCACTAAATGTTTGATAAAATTCAGCAGTGGCTTTCTTTTATTTTTGTTTGCATTGTACCTTACCTTGGTTAGATTATGACCTGATTTTCTCTGACCAAGGCAAGAAGTTCCAAGCTAGTAAATCTTCTTGACATCAGTTATATCATCTGTAAGATAGAATGCCTTGGCTTAATAACTTACCATTCTACAAGCTGGAAACAAGGGTTATGTGAACTGACACACCTAAAATCATGTGCCCTTCTGATACCACATTTCATAGATTGCACAGACAGACACTCATTAATGGCAGGGCTGTCACCCAAACCAACATCTACACTTTTCTAATCCCATCTACTTTTCAATAAACCAGCAGATGAAATACTTTCTAAGAATTCTGAAGATAAAGAAACTATCTTTTTCAGCAACAATTTGAAACCATTCTTGGCTCATAGTAAAAAGTATACTCTTTATTGGGACCTAGGATCTACATCCACATACATGAAGAAAGCGTCACAGAACAACTTGCTGTGTACAAGACGCTGATAGCTTTCACTCTGGTCAAGATGATTTCATTTTATTAATGCTGTCCATGAGCCACTAAATTATCTGCTGGGTTAGGAACCACTAATAGATCAGGCACCACAGTGATGAACACTCTTTTGAAAAGTAAAGATCCTTTTGAAATTAAGATCCAGAGAGTATATTCTAGCCTAAACAAGATGACTATACCACAGTACCTTGCGTTTACACAAGGTAACACAAGTTTGGTAAACTTGGGAGGGAAGGAAAATGAGAACAAGAAAGGAAACATAAATACATTTATATTTCAAAGGACAGGATTTTTTTTTCATTTAGTTTTTACATTTGGATAAAAATCTAATTTCTTTCCAGTGAGTGAGAAATTTCAAAGCTGGTAACTTGAACAAAGTCTGTATATAGCAAAGCAGATCTGGAATTGTATGAATTGTGGTGGGAGTCAACATTTAGAATTCATTAACAGGACAACACATGGAAGCTTTTCCATTTCTTATAAATGTTATTTCAAATCACAGCAGGCATAGAAAACTGTTCATCTTCAACCAGATCATGAATTGTTATGTAATGAGATTCTGTGAAAAACAAAAATAATATGAATACACAAATAAATATTTGCGGAGTGCCTGGGTATCTTGATAAATAATATCTGCTCCACACATGGTACTCCTTCTTTTATGGTCTCTAAAGCCCCGCAGAAAGTCTTCCACGAAATCTGTCTTCATGTTACACTGCCTTCTTGTTCCAAGTTTCCAAGGTTTTCTCACTCCGTATTGATATCTTTATACTTTTTAATGCTCTACTCTCACTCCTGCTGCTTCTCTTCTAGCCAGCACACTGGTTTCCTTTTATTTCCTTTTCTTCCTCCAGGCTGTATGCCTCCTGCTACAAGGTGGTTACACTATAATCATTCTGGAATAATTTGGAGAAAGCAGGTGTCTCCTTTGGTCCCTGACATACAGACCTGATGCTATAGAGGGAAGCCAGAAGCTGCCAGGGACAGCATGCGAAGGCTGGCCACTGGGGGGATCTTGAGAATGGAGGAGGAATCCCTCCAGCACCTTGGAAGCCAGACTGGTGAAAGAAAGAGGCATACACCTCAGAGACATTTTTGGAGCAGCTGAATGAGCAGCTGAACCCAGCACTTTTGTTGACATTTTCAATACACTGCAATCATTTTTAATAAATTGTTTTTAATTTATCCAGTTGGAGATGGCATTTTTTTTGCAACTTAAAGATTTTTAAACTGATATTAATATCAACTTCATTCCTGCCTGGGAATCCACAAAGCCCCTGTCGGCCAAGTCCCTCCTCCAGTCTCTCTTTACATTAACTTTTCCAAATTAAGTGAATGAAATGAAACCGGATTTCCCGCAAATCTGACTTGGCTTTTAAAATAATAATAAATACAAAAGTAATGGTGGTAATACCAGTAATAGTGGCTAGTATGGAATGAATGATGATTATACAGTGATAATAAGTTAAGGCAGTGGTACTCAAATTTTGCTGTAAATTTGCTTTTCAAAACACTGATGTCCATGCCACAATTACACTAATTAGATTCCTGTAGCACCAGAATCTATGGGGATAGGGAACAGGCATCAGCGCTTGTTAAAGCTGTCTAGGTGATTCCACAAACAGTTAAATTTGAACCCTCCTCTGCTAAAGGTTTGTTAATCAATTTTTTTATTTCACTTAAACCTTACAGCAAGGAAAGATAGTGCTCAATCATATCATCATCAATATTATCACTGTTTAATGAGAAAGAAGTATGGGGCTCAGGAAGTTCACACAGGTAATATGCAATAGAACCAAGCTTTAAAAATATTAAAATAGATGGAGATTCTTGAACACCAGCAAGGAGTAGGAAAGGGAAAAAGCCAAGAATGTGAGTAATCCACAGAAAAAGCAATCTTAGGTGGAAAAAACAGGAAAGCCAGAGTATTCAGAGTCCATGCCTGCCCTCAAGAGAAGCCTTTTAGGACCTAATAGTCATTTATCAGCTGCTCAGAGTACAGATGCTACTCTGTTCATTTATCATCAGTCAATAGACATTTACCAAACTGCACCCATCAATGAAACACTTCATAATTGATAAGCAGGCAATAAAGGAGACAGATTCAAGCCTGAAAGAAACTCTGACTTTGACTCCCAATGCCTGGAGACAAAGGTGGGTCTGATAGAGTGTAGGCAGCTGTCTTTACTCAATATTGAAAATGAAATTTCAAGTTAGGCCAATAAACTTGAGTTAAAAGACAAACTGCATAACTGTGTTGAAACCAACAGGTTTACATGAAACATGGCTGAAATGTCGTTGGGAGAAGAGGAAGAAAAAAATTCTCTCCTACATTGAAAACTGAACAACTCTGAATTGGGAAGGCATTAATAATGATAAGCTTGATACTGGAGGTCAACCTATGGAAATTCCACTATAGCACCAAGAGCTGAATGTCAATAATAGACTGCTTTTACATGAAAACTTCCAGAAATCTTCTTACAATTCTAGTGTTTCTTTTTTCTTTTTCACATTTTCCTGTAGATCTTTTTGACCCCTTCAGCAATAAAAACAGTTTTGGGGCATTGGTTGTACAGCAGAGTTTGCCAGCAACTGCTGCCCTGCTATGTACCTGAAGAATAATCGTTCTGGGTGATCTTTTTTTCTTCCTGCATCTCCACAGCAACAGATCATTTTTGATGTAAAAGAAAGTATTTTGACTTTTAAAGAATAAAACAAAAGTTACAGGCAGAAACTCAAATAGAAAATTGCTAGTTTTATATCGATTATGGAAAGACACACAAGTTCTTGAGTGGCACCTTGTACTTCCCTAATTGCCAATATTACCTTTGCGAGAAAGGGAGTATTTAAAGTGTTGAAATTTAAATACGATCAAGAGTTCCCCACTTTGATGGTGAGTCAATACATTTTGCCACTAGAACCTAACCAGATAACCTAAATTTTAAAAGTATGTGTATGTTCTTTATTTAAACAAACTGAGGACACTTTGAATATTACTTCAGCAGTTTTTCAAACCAAAACAAATTGACATTCCACACCATGGATCCCAAAGTATGCCCGTCTTCACTAGCAACATTTGCAGAAAAAAGACTCCCCATCCTTTGGCATCATGGAAGGACTGACTTCAGCTGCAAAACATTTGAGCTATAGGGTCTTGTTTATCATGTCTAAAGGTTAATTCATATACGTTTATGAGGCTCCAGGAATTTTTCAAATAATTTCAAGCACATTTTAACTATTTAGAATTAATTATCCAGTAACTTTGCCATTGTTAGGTTTTCTCCAAACAAAACTAAATCTAGAGGGCATGAAGCAAGCCCCAATGTCCAACTGCCTGTGTGTTTATTCACTGTTTTCTCCTTTTAAGAAAAGTGAAAGTATTTAGGGCATACAGGCCTCTGGAAGGACCGCCTGTTTTATTGTGTTTTACAATATCCATAACAGAGAAACTTGTAATTGGAGCAATTAACTGATACCATGACATGGCTAAAGAACCAAGGGAACATCGGGTGCAAGCACAGCACTCTGCTTCTTACCTTGGGAGCTTTGGCATGTCTCCCATATCTGGCATCCTTGACAAGACTGAGATCTAACAGCTCCGTCTCCTGGAAGGCAAACATGTAAAATCGTTAAACTTCCACACAGATCGCTTGTCTTTGTTTTCTATCATTGACATCACTTTTAAAAAAATAGTATTATCTTGAGACTTGCGTCAAGATTTCTCTGCAGTGGGGATATTTTTCCCTCTTACATCGCTTATCAATCAAATTGGAATGGAAACAAAAAGAGAGCTAACAGCTAACTGCTCTGTTCAATATATATTCTAATACATTTTGAAAGTATAATGTGTGTGGCTCGAGTCTGCCTACAAGCCATCCTACAAGCCATTCCTAAGTCATGATGAATGAGGCCTTCCTGATCCACTGTTGAAAGTAATCCTGAGAGTCACTTTGAGTGTAAGTGAGCCTATGGTTGTGGGAGGTGGGATTATGGAGCAGCGGTGGAAGGAGAAGCTCCCATTAGCACACACAATACCCAGCTCACCTGGTCAAGGTAGACATGCATCTGACTCCCCAACCTGCAGCACCCTCACCCCAGCCTTCTGCACATAGCCTTATTCCCTGGTCTTTCCCTTTATTTATGATGTATCACTGAACACTTATATGCAAGTTACTCAAGGTTACAAGACAAAAAAACATGTGACAGCGTCTCTGGATAGACTTGCCATCGAATAGGGGAACAAAAAAAACTTTTATGTGTAAGACAAGGGAAAGTGTGCTAATCCCAAATTTAAAATTAACTGCTATGGATGGGAATCAACAGAGGAAAGATAGTTTTTCCCCTATGGGCTCAGAGAAAAGTCCACGGAGGAGTCACTGAGCATGGAGAAGAGAAGTGGGAAGAAAGACTTTCACCCCATTAGGAGGGTCCAGTAGGAGCAAATAACCGGACAAGGAAAGACCAGAGTTTCGGGCAGAACCTTGAGGTATTCACAGCCTTTATACACTTAGAGATGGAGAACATTGCAGGAGGAGCGGATAGGGTGGAGGAGAGGGGTAGAGAGGCACCCAGGAGTAAGGCACAGCACCAGCAAAGGCGCAACGGCAGTGCAGAAGAGATGCCTATATTCAATGACGCCATTGCTGGACCATAGAACGTATGAAAAACAGTCATGGGAGATGACGCCAGAAAGGGATAGAGGCAGAAGGATGGAAATCCTGAAAGTCAGGCTAAGGACACTGCGCCAGGAGGTTTGTGACACCCACGTGACCAAGTTCTATGGCGAACTCGATCGCCAGCCAGGTGGGACTGCGGCACAGTGAGCAGAGTCATCTTGGTGACTCCAGCCATCCAACCTGTTTTCGAGAATAGTAACCCAGTTGGATCTGGGCATCTAACCCCCTTCTCCCTGCAGGAGGCACTGCATCAAAATTCAGCTGCTCAAAGTTCCTCTGGACAGGACTGGCTGTAACTTCTCATAGGCCTTAACATCTCCAAGCACTGGCAGCTGAGGTTTCCAGACAATTCCTGCAAACAGTTGCCACCAATTCTAAATGTTTCGTGCAAAATGGTCTGATTATTTTCCTGTCTTAAGGTTGGACTCACAATTGCAGTATAATTAAGGGTCAAAGAAGAGGTGGAGTCTGTCTATTGGCATGCAAACCCACACAGTGGTCTGAGAGACCGCAGGCCCTAGCCCACCTTCCTGTGGGCTGAAGGGAGAACAGGAAACAATGCCTTCTTTTCTGCTGCTCACACTGGTCTTGTAAATCTGCTTTTTCCTATTTTAGCATATTACAGGACCCATTCTCCGCTGTGTGTGACTCAGTAGAAATCCACCCAAACCCTAGGATTTGACAAATAGAAACCCAGCAACGATCTTGCAGGACAGAGTAAATGGTGCCAAAGGGGGCTGCACCACCCACGATATGGAAGGTCACCTTATGAGTGTTAGGAAAGAATGTTAACAGCCTCAACACTTAGCGAATGCATCCTAAGGTCCTCGGACATGAGAAAGTGGGGCACCTGACCCAGGTTTCTTTATCTCCATAGCAATGACAACCAAAACAGTTGTTGGAAGAAGAAAAACAGGAAGAGAACCAAGCTTGAATCTAGAAGCTTAATCTAGAAGACCAGGTATAAGTGGAGATCTGAGAGACAGGGGACTAGAGGAACAAGTATTAAGGAGAAAGATGAAAGTGATAATGTGGAGGTAGAATTGCCTAAAGGAAAGTGAGGAGTCATAAGCAGCTCTAGGCTTTCCATCTTCTTTACTGGGACTTGGATGTTTGGGCAAAATGACAGTGCATTTTGGAGATGTTAGTTTGAGGGGCTTGAACAAGTGGAAATGCCAGTCATTAATTCACCCGAGCATTATTTATCAAATGCTGCAATGTGTCACGTACAGGCCACATACTGAGGAATGACACCAAAAAAAAAATACAAAGACGAGGTATCTGTTTTGATAGCTATGCCCAAAACCAGAGAATATACTCCAAAGGAGCCCTTCCAGGTGCATTCAGATGTGGACTATGAAGGGCTATAGGGCATCTTTTCAGCCAGTACACAAGGCAGATGAAGAGTTTGCCAACCTTATAATCCTGTGTGTTTGTGGGAGGGGAGAGTTTCAGGGAGAGGAAACAGCAGGTACAAATGCAGAGACAATTTTCTGCATAAACTGTGGGCAGAAAACTACGAGTCACTTGGGGTACACAGCTGGGGTGCATGGAGAGTTACCACAGTCACCTCCACTCTTGGTCATTGTGGGTGTGATTTCTTTACATTTATTCCCAAAACACTGACATTTTCTTTGACGCACTTTTCTATGTATGTTGCATGATGTTTTACATACACACGAATTAGAAATCACACACACACACAATATATATTTGCCTAATTTTAGAGCAACATTTTTTATTCAAGGAAATTCCTCCCAGTTGAACAAACAATAAACATAAACTTTACTTATTTGTTTATACACACCAAGCCCCAATTGAGTTCACAAAGAACTAGATCTTGGTAGGCATCATTATATAGCCTTTTATATTACAGATAATGATCCTGTTTTCTATTTTCAGCTCCAGAGGAAACATTCATTCCCCAAGTCACAGAAGGACAGTTAACGCCAGCTGCCCTGGGGATTCATTTCGATGCCACAGCGACTAAGAAACTTCTCTCATGCAAGTGTAAAATTGAGTGTGCAGGAAAACCACCACAGGGCACCATCATCGTGGGTAATGTAGCATGGGAAAAACCCAGGTGGAAAAGCTGTCCATGGACTCGTTTAGCTACAGAGCGATAATTAAAATAGCGCCTTCAGCTTCTACTAAACATGCAATGGCCACCCCTCTGGGTTTAAGTACATTCCATTCTCTCCTCCACTAAAAAGGAAATGAGGAACCAAATGCACAGGACCACAAAAATGTTATTTGTGCCATTAAAACTTTTTCTAGGTTAATTTTCTTGTGTTAATAGTTTTAACAATCTACTCTCATTATTAGAAAGCAGTGAAATGGTCCCTTTCTCAGTTCATTTAAGAGATACTGTTTTCCAGCTTTCTGGAATCCACTATTCCTTTACTCTTTTCTTTAAGGGAGGGAGGTCACATGATTTGTAGGCAAATACCCTGAGTTTAACTAAGGGCCCCAACATTAACCAGTCATATCTTCAGCCAATCGCTGTACCACACCAAGCTTCAATTTCACCATCTATAAAATGAGAATGATAATATTTTCTACCCTAGTGGGTCTCAAACCATAGCCTGCACTACAGTCATTTCAAAGATTTGTTAAAATAAAAGTTGGCTGGCAGCCATCCAGGGTTTCTGGTCAATACAACTGGGCTAGACAGGAGAATATGGATCTCTAATAAGCTCTTGGGTGGTACTGATGATGCTGGACCAGGGACCCTACGTTGACAAGCAGATACATATATTCATTCATAGGGCTGTTATTACACTGCTTTTTAGGTGAACATGCTTGACAAAAACTGTACGTTATTTATATGTTGTATTATGTTGTATGAAGAATCTTATAACTGTTGTTTCTGTATATAAGGAAACATCACATAAATTTATGACACCTACTAAATGCACAAGTGTGTCTAGTGCTGAATAATCTAGGATTAAATTCAACTTAACGGAATGGAAGAAAAGCTATGGAATGACAAATGCCACTGACTCCTATTCTATCATTAGCATGAAAGGTTACCCTATATAAGTAAATGTCTCTGGAAATTCCAGCAATGATTGAAATTGTTTCATTTGCTGAAAAAAAGTCTGTACTCCATAACCTTGGCATCACACTGAATAATATTACAGGCACCTCTAGAAAAGTGGAAAAAGAAAATTTGTACTTGTTTACCTTGAAGCCCACCCAACAGTAAAAAGGAGACTGGAGTGCCCAAGGGTCTGTGGGCTACCAAGACCATTACAGAAGAATGAACTAACAGGCTCCCTCTATTTCCAGGGCACACCATGGCCTCCTGCAAAGCCTGGAAAGGACCCCAACACATAGACCAGGGTGCAACAGATGTACCTTCTCCCTTGGTCAATATGGATAAAAATGAATTAACAGTAATCAAGGATGTATTTTTGATATCTTGAATGAGTGATGAGAAAACAGAGACAGGCAGTGAAGGGAAGACCAAATTGTCTCTGATGTTCACTATTCAGCAGCAAGATTTCAATCCATCAGCCACAAGCACACTGCGAGGTAGATGAGCCATGAAATGCACTGCAAACTCAGGAAAGAAGACAATATAAAACTCAACTCTTTTCCAGAATACCAATTTTGGGGCATTGTCACCAAATTCCATTAGTCACCCAATATAATAACATGCTTCAAGTTCACACAATATATAATCAGAGCAGCAATTACAATCACAAACATTTCACAGTGAAGATATTAATGGCTGGGTGTGGGGGTGATAACGCATACCTCCCCAAGGGGTACATTCATTAAGTTGTTCAACCTCAATTTACCAAAAGCAGAAGATATTAGTATGTTTTATTTGACTGCCAAACCTCCCTAAAATGCCCAATTTTTAAAAATATATATATTTTAGAGACCTTTAATCAAGGGTTTTAATTTACATGGAAGCAAAT